ACGTAGTGATCATATCACCTCTTTTTCTTCTAGCTTCTAGTTTTTGCATATTTAATGCCTCTAACCTCTCCTTGTAGCTCTTGTCCTTCAGTTCTGGGAGTCACTTAGTGGCATGTCTTTGCACCTTTTTCAGTTGGTTGATGTGCTTCTTAAAATATGGGCACCATACAACTGCTGCATATTCCAGCTTTGGTCTAACAAAAGTCATGAACAACTTCTTTAGTATTTTTCCATCCATGTATTTAAAAGGAATTCTGAAGTTAGAAAGTGTAGCATTGGCTCCTCACACAATGTTCTTAATATGGTCCTCGGGTGATAGTTTTCTGTCTAGGACCACCCCTAGATCTTTTCTTTGTCAGAATTCTTTAAAGATTTCTCACATAATTTATAGGTTGTGTGGGGTCTATGTTCTATTCCACATTCCATAACATGGCATTTATTTGCATTAAATTCCATTTGTCAAGTGGTGCTCCATATACTTATTTTATCCAGGTCTTCTTGAAGAGTATGGCAATCATCTAAGTTTCTTATCTTCCCTATTATCTTAGCATCATCAGCAAACATGTTCATATAATTCTGTATTCCATGTGGCAGATCATTCATTTGCAAGTTACCGGTGCAAGAACTGAACCCTATGGTACTCCACTTGTGACATTTCTCCAGTCTGATACATTGCCTTTGATTACTGCCCTCATTTTTCTATCAGAAGATTTTTCATCGATGTTAGAAATCCAACACCAACCAACTCCCAGGATGTTAATGAACACATTAACATCCTGGGAGTTAATCAAAGTTAAAACCCCTCCAATGTGTTCCAATTTCCAGAACAACCGCTTATGTGTAACTCCGTCGAAAGCCTTTGTTTTAGGTTCAGATAGGTACAGTCAATTCAACCATTTCTTTCCTGTAAAATCTCTGTGGCTCGATCATAGAAACCGAGTAAATTCGTTACACAGGATCTTCCTGATCAAAAACCATACTGTCTGTCTGTGATATTATATCTTTTTTCTCCAGGTGTTCTACCTATTTACGTTTAATGATTTTTTTCAATATTTTGACTTATTATACTTGTCAGTGATACAGGTCTATAAATGAAAGGTCATCCCTGCTGCCACTTTTGTAGATTGGAACTATGTTAACCTTTTTCCAGACATCTGCTACGACTCCTGTACACAGGGATACCCAAAAAATCAGTTGAAGTGGAATGCTGAGTTTAGGTGCACATTCTCTCAGAACCTATGGTGAAACTCCATCTGGTCCAACTGCTTTATTCTTACTTAGCTCCTTTAACATTTTTTCCACTTCATCTTTAGACACCTCTATGTGCTCTGTGTTGTTCTCTGGAATTCTTATTGTGTCTGGTTCCCTGACGATTTCATTTTGTACAAACGCACTTTGGAAGTTTATCTTTAATGTTTCACAAATTTCCTCTTCATTTTCCATGAATCTGTTTCCCATCATCAACCTCTGAATATTATCCTTTATCTGCAAATTGTTGTTTATGAATTTATGGAAGAGGCCTGGTTTTGTTTTACATTTGTCCACTATCCCTTTTTCAAGGGATAGTCTCATTTCATGCAGGTCGACGTTCAATCTCTACTGTCCAAATGGTTGGGCACTATTCCTTTCCCCGTCCCATCCCAAATCCTTATCCTGACCCCTTCCAAGTGCTATATAGTCGTAATGGCTTGGCACTTTTCCCCGATAATTCCTTCCTTCTCACTGCCGTGTAGTTGTTTCTTGCATCTTTGTATCGCTGGTATGTTTGGGGGGTTTGGCCTCTTCCTGTATTGATGAAAGTGTGTGTGCGTGTGTGTAAGAGAAATATAAGTAGTAGATATAATAGAGGAAAAATAAATTGGTTAGAAAGGTGGGGTCCAATAGTTAATAACTTGATTCTGCAGATTCAAATAGTAAATACACAGTAGGTAAACAAGAGTACACTTGATGGTTGTATTCATTCGAGGATATTAGCATCTGCTCTCCAAATATAAATACCTGTGGCACAATTTCTTAGCAGGCAGAATTCTTTTTTTTTTTTTTTTTTTTTGGTCAGGTTCTAAGTAATAATTATTATTAATTGTCTTTCTCATTCAATGTATGAGAATTGTGGAGATGTGATACTGCCACTTTACAAAGTAAAAGTATTGTGATATTGTGTAAGTACACTGATATTATGTAACTATTTGACCAAGATGATTATACAGTAGTTTGCAGAAACATACATGTAATATTTTATTACTTAGGTTATGATTAACAATAAATATTTGTAATTTCAAATTTAATCCATGTAATCTGTGATATTTGAATATTGTTAATAAATAATAAAGTTTATTATAATGATTTTTTCATTGCCCTTTAAAACAATGTTATAGCAGTATTTTCTCCTATCATTGTTTTCATCAGTACTGATGCATACTATATTTCCATTAAAAAGGCTTATTATTAACACAAATTGTAGGTATATTTATTAGGATTTATTCTCATATGTACATAAGTATTAAAGCAAATAGTGTAATAGTTTTTTTTTTTTGGTTAAGAATGATGGAAAGTTATATATGAACAGAACAGGAAAAAGGGGTAACAAAATTTTTCCTTTCATATGGGTTTGGTTTGGCATAGTATAAGGTCATGCTCAAGTGAAGTTTGCTGCTGCTTGGTTTTTTTGGCAGTGTTTATATGTAAAGCCTACAGAAACATTAATTTGCCTGAGGGCCACTATTTCTCTAGTGGGCCTCGAAGAGGACAGGAAGCTGGCAGGTTGTCAAACATTTTCTCCATTTGTCCTGATAAATTTTTTTCAAGCTGGATTTTAAAAATCTTCAGTGTTTTGCCATTTATGGCTTCGGCAGGTAGGCTGTTCCATGGGTTTATAACCCTGTGCATGAAAATGCATCTGTTTTCAGTTCTTCATTGTGGATTGTTGAGCTTGAAACCGTTGCTCCTTGTTTGTGTTACATCTGACCTTTTGAAGAAGTCTGGATCAACATCTTGTAAATTGTTCAGTATTTTAAAAGTTTCAATGAGATCTGCTCTGTTTGCAGTGTTGTTAGCCCTGTGGCCCTCGACTGTTCCCAATACGACAGTTGACAGCTTTGGGATGATATTTTTTACCTCGTGTTGCAATTTATCCAGAGCCAACTATGTCCTTCTGAAGATGAGGTCTCCATACTTGGATACAGTACAATAATCCAAACTGGGGCGCACCAGTGATTTATACAATTGAATCACTACCTTCTTTTCCTTTAAAGTCAAAGGTATGCTTGATTATTCCAAGGGTTTGGTTATCTTTTTTGACAGCTGCAACTTTCAGTGAATGGTGGATTTTGACTCTAGGGTTCTTCATCAATCTGCTGTAATGCAATGTTATTAATTTGGTAATTATGGTATCAATAGTCGTTTATGGTACAAAATTTTAAAATAGTCTCTCTGGAAAATGTATTTTATTTTATAACAAATCAAGGTTTTCTTTAATATAATAATAATAGGGTATACTAAATTAGTTTATGAATTTCATATATCACTTTTAATAATTCACATCTGTTTAGAAACACTGGGCTAAACTCACCGAACCTAGTGTAACCTAACCTAACCATGGATAGAAAGTACATAATATCGCTAATTACATAGTGCATTTTGAAGTAATTACCAAGAAGGTATATTTAAAATGGATGACATTATAAATACAGTATACCACTGATGACAGGGTTGTAGCTTAACCTACTTTAGCCAGAAACGCTGTGCGTATTAGTGGCTGTTGTTTAAGATCGCTACTTGGAACAAAAAGTTCCAAGTAGCACTGGCTATGGTAAGCCCATTGTGGACTTACTTGGCACAGAAGCGGGGCTGTAACTTTTGGTATTAGTGGCTTTAGGCATAGTATATATAATACTAGCTCTATTTAGAAATCCAACATTGTTTGTAAATAATTTTGTATGTATGTACTTATACCTGAATAAACATTATTAGCATTTTATTATATATTATTATACATACCTGAGGGCCACTAGGACGCCGGCGGCTTGTCGAAGGTCCACTCATTTGCTTTGTGCATTGTACAATTGTTTCTTAAAGGAGTTGAGCGCAATTTATTTGCTTTTTCACCCAGAGGGTTTTGTAAATTATAAACCCTTGGAACCGCCTACCTCTCGAGGCCATAAATGCAGACATAAATGCATTTTATAAGGTCCCGGTAGTACAGTACAGTCGGGTTCGTTCTCGACTCGCAATCGAGACTTCCATGTTCTAATTCCGGGCAGCACAGAAATGGTTGAGCGCATTTCCTATCACCTCATGCCACTGTTCACCTAGCAGTAAAAGGTACCCAGGAATTAGCTTGTGGGGGTTGCATCCTGAGGAGGGTCAATAATTCGAGCCCGGGGGTAGCCGGGACCTCGATAAAAGCTTAACATCCACTGTATGTACAGTATATTTATAAATATAATTTATAAATAGATAAAGTATATGCTGCCTGTCCCCCGACACAATGAAATATTATTTCAAAAAGCAGCTGGATAAAATCACCAGGAAAAATAGGGGGACATTTGACAAGCCGCCAGCTTCCTGTTCTCATTAAGGCCACTAGAGTATTTGTGAGCATCAGGTAAATTCAGGTAAAAATTCGAGCCTTCGAATATAAACTTAAATGACCGTAGTCAAAGCGCCATTACGCAACTTGAACAAAATTCTCCTTTGCGTTTAGCTGTTATAAGATCTTGTCCTATTATTAACTGTAATACCTTGGTAAATAATACATATATAACATTTGCGGTTATTGATATTTTAAAATAGCATTAGTGAGGTTTAGGCGAAGAATATATAGTAAATAGGACGTAGATAAATACTAATTATTACAACACGTGGCGATACAATATATATAAATATATTAATACTAGCTATGCTGTACAGCTAATTTAAGTGAGCTAAAATAAGAATTAGGGGTTTGTTACCTGGCCAAAGGTAACATAGAACACCAAGGAAGATGACTTGAGGTATATGTGAGAGGATGGTGTATATAAATGGGGCGTGGTGTGTGTCAGTGTGTGTGGAGCCTGGCGCAGTAGAGCACCTCTCCTCACTCGTCCCTACCACAACCACCACACCCTCCTGCTGCCATGGCCGCCCTAGCTCCTGTTGTCATCGACGGTAGCTACTTAGAAGGGGTGAGTGGCCATAGAGGTGTGTGGTTGAGAGGTTAAATGTGGTAGGTGTTTCGTTTTGATACGTTTAGGTTGAGACGGGCTAGCGGCTCCCATGTGTAATGGCTTCTTATGTTTATTTTCTAAATTAATTACATATATTTATGTTAGTATGTGCCGAATTATGCACATGCATTAGTGAATGTTTATTTATGTATGCACATACAGTGTCATTCCCGAGAGAAGGGAAAAATTCAAGATGAATCTGCGTGGAGGTGTGGACGATGTGCATGGCTGGTCACTTCGTACCCAAGATAAAGTGACCAATATGTATTTAAAACTCACCTAACCCTACCAAACTTGACCTATCCTAACCCAACTGAGTTTAACACAGCCTTCAAGTTAGTAAGTTAATACATTCTAACTTAACGATATATATGATTTTGCCAATCAAAAAATGAGCTTTGGTGAACTGTTTTGTGTACGAATTGACCAGTCCTCATTTGGTTACTTCCATATTTACCTGAATTTACCTGAGGGCCACTATATCTCTAGTGACCTTGGCAAGGACAGAAAGCCAGCAGCTTGTCATGGGTTTCCCCATCAGTCCTAATGATTTTATCCTGATGTCCTGTAAGATTTTATCTTTTTAGATCTTAAAATTGCAACAGCGTTTTGGCATTTACGTCTTCGGCGGGTAGACGGTTCTATAGATTTATAACCTATGAGTGAAAGAGCATCTCCTGTTTTCTGTCCTACATCTGACCTTTTGAAGAAGTTGTCTGGATCAATGTCCTCCAACCAGTTCATTATTTTAAATTTTGACAAGATCATCCCTGGCACGGAACAATCATGGCACTCGTTCAAAATTATGTGCCAAAAAGGTGAAAGAAAAGAAAGGCAACTGGATGGATGTCACAGGTAATTAAGCGAGCATTGATAACTATCTGGAACCTCTAGAGAACGTACTAGTCCACGATGGACATCATTGATTATGAAATATATTAAAGGGCACTAAGCTCAACCACCCAAGAAATCAGATCGGCTAAAAGATACTACGAAAGAAAACTTGCACAAAACAGATTGAAAGATCCAAAATTGTTCTATGCCTATATAAGAAGTAAGACCAAAACAAAGAACTCGGTTTGAATTCAGAACCCTTAAAAGATGAGACTAACCAAGTTATAATGGATGATAAAAGGACAGCAAACACACACGATGAATATTTTACAGCAGTGTTCACACTAGAAAGGTTAGATGGCATCTCATCACCCACACAAATGTTTGAAGGAGATGACACTCGCCTGGCAAAGAATGGCCGGGGAGGATTTACTGGGCGCAACCCCTTAACTGTAGCCTCTATTTAACGCAACAGTAAAATGTTTAGGGATAAGGACTTGCCCGAAACGCTACGCATACTAGTGGCTGTACTGTACCTATAACATGCAACATATTCAGGATGAGCATTGATAAACTTAGACTCAAAAGCCCAGGTGTGGATGGAATCCAATCCAAAATAGTAAAGGAACTGACAGAAGAACTATGCCTACTGTTGAAATTACTTTTCACAAAATATCTGGACCAAGGGATAGTCCCCTAGATTGGAAATATGCAAATGTCACCCCTAAAAAAAAAAAAAAAAAAAGAGCTCGGTGGAAAACTACTGTTCGATATGCTTGACATCACACATCTGCAAGCTCATGGAAAGAATCCCAAGGGTGGGAATCTTTTTCCATCTCAATGAAAAAATCTTGTAAAATCGTCACAACATGGGTTTGTTAAAAATAGATCCTGCCTTACAAACCAGCTCACATTTTTGGAAATGGTAATCAGCTATTTGGACAAAGGACTTCAGTGGATGTAGTATACATGGACTTTGCTTTGGCCGGTGGGTAATGATGTTCATACCCTTACGCACCCCTTTTTCAGATCACAAAGAAATCACAATGGCATGATATATCAATGAGAAAATCATTTTGGGGCATTGAGGTGACTTGGGTGGATTATGGCAGGTGTCTAGAAATCACCAGAACTGGTTCATGTCACCTCATTGTCCCAAAATGATGATCTCATTGATATATCATGCCACTGTGATATATCCACTCAGTTTGCAAATAGTATTAGAAAGTTTTCTTTTGCAAACAGAGTGATAGACAGTTGGAACAATTTAACTGAGAAAGTGGAGAAAGCCAGAACCATCAGTAGTTTCAAAGCATTATATGACAGAGTACTGGGAAGATTGGACATCATGACTAGCTCTCATCCTGTAACTACACTTAGGTAATTACACACAGGCTGCCTGTCCCCAACAAAAATAATTATTCAAATATCTGTTCAAAATTGTATGCTTTAAAAACCTAAAAAAAAAAAAAAAAACTGATTTCTTTTTACCACTCAAATGTATTGGATATAAGGGGCATGAATATTCACTTTTGATTGGCTGACTAATAGTTAACTGTCATGCAATAACTTGACTTGTGTTTACAGGGGGGTCAGATACTTCGTATGGGACTTGCTCTCAGTGCAGTGAAGAATATACCCATTACTGTCAATAAAGTCCGAGCTGGAAGGAAAACGCCTGGACTGCGCCCTCAGCACTTAACAGGTAATTAATATTTTTTTGAGGTATGCTGTCTGATGTAGATATTTAATTGGAAATAGTTATATACTGTATTCTAGAAGTTGGTAATTAATAGTACAGTACTGTACTGTATTTAGAACATGGCAGTTGTGCTGAATGACCACATAATTCCAGCATTAGGCCTAAATCCAACACGTACATTCCAATCTAATACAGTATACTGTACTGTATTGTTACAAATAGTACTGTCGGGTCTAATGGCCCCTCGTGAGACCCCAGCTACCAAAATGGTGTGGAACTATAGTGGGAGAGGAATTTGAAATGTGTATTAGTGAAAGTACAGTACTGTACAGTATAATGTATTATAACAAAATTAATTACTCTGGGTGAAGTCTTTACGAAGTCTTAAGTCTTACTTTAAGAAGTCTTTAAATAGAATGAATAACTGTAGCAGCAATGTAACAATAGCAATAACTAAGCATAGTTCTCTCAAAGCACTTAATCTGTAACCATTTAACATTTCAGAGTAATGTATTTACATGTACCACTAGTTCCAACACCTTTTAAGAAAATAAATAATTAGTATAAATCCCAAGTACATAACATGAAAATATCCTAAGTCTAAAATGTGAAATCTTGTCTTGGTATAAAGTACTGTAGTAAGATAAGCTGAGAGCATGTGTTTCACTCGCTGCTGTCCTGTTCCTATCTCGGAATACATGGCCCATGTTATCCTGGAACTGCCAGAGGTAGTCTCTAGTGAGATTCACACCCAGCATCCTTTGGATGCCTCAGGCTTGGAGCATAATTAGTTGACTATCTTGAGCACTGCAATGCTCATATCAGTGTAAACATATGGTTAACTATGTAGAGTTTAGTGTAGACTAGTGAATACAGTACAATAGTGTACATTCTAACCTTTTATGTAACATTATACACACACTCTTAATCGTGTATGGTCAATATAGCCAAGCCTTAAGGCCAACATATTACGGGAAGTTCAGTAATACTGTACAATTGTGGAATTGTGGCGACGTAATGGCTTCTTGGGAGGTAACAACGTATTCTATATTGTAAATTGTAGTTCTTTAGTTACAGTACCTGGTTATCAAAATGCTAAATTGACTATTGAGCTGAGGATGATGATCATAGAGCTCAGATTACTTTATCCTGTGGCACACAAGACCAGACCACTCTTGGGGGTAACTCTTTGCTGTGTGTCCCACTCCCTCATTCCTTCAAATTATAGTCAATGATATTTGTTCATAATGAGTATTGTTTTTGGATAGCTTGTTTACCTGTTTTTAGTCTTTTTAGAATGCTTCCTTCCATCATTGTGATGATGCAAATGTGAGTCAGCCTAAGAATGAATGATAGCTGATGGAGTGATGTTCTTGATAAAGGTGTGCAACCAACTTGACGCTGTTGATTGCCGGACACCTTGTGTCACGGTTGCCATCTTCTGATTATCCATGAAGTTGGGCCAGGTGGGGGAACCTTGCGAACATTGGCTTTGCAGTACTGTATATGTATCAGTAAGTGTCGACAACTCTTCGGTGTTGAAAGCTGTGATTTACTGATCAGTTCAACCAGAATAGGTCAAGACTAGAGAGAAGTGTTCTCACATGGTTCTCCAACTTGTCTAGAATTCTGATAAATGATGAGGAGGCAGTCCATCCAGGAGAGCAAGTGTGTACTCAAGATGCAAGCAAACTTGTGCTTTCTCTTTCTTTATCCCAGATGCCATTGCTTCATTTATTAAGGTAATTGTTTGACCCAAAGTGTGTGGATATGAAGTATAATAGCATGAGTATAAAACAGAAGAATTGGACAATATGATGAGCATATGTGGAGTTGAAAGAATAAAGAGTGGTAATGATGTGATGTGGAATGCAAAAGTACAAGATATTGTATTGTAATAGTTTGCAGATATGGCTGGATGCATTTGTACCAAATTTTCAAAAATTTGTGCATAAACGCTTCAGCCTTCGTCTATGCTTTAGCATGTATTTGAATATGTACATATATTTTTTCCAGGGCTTCAGGTAGTTAGAGATGCTTGCAATGGTCAGTTGGACGGAGGTCAGATTGGATCATGTGAAGTGAGTTTTTATCCTGGCCCTATATCTGGAGGCCGATACATGGCAGACACTCAAACAGCAGGGTAAGTTTCTAAATTATTGTATAGTGCATTGTTTCTCAGGTTTCACGTAATACTATAATTATAACTTTTTACTGCTCTGATAAGTTCAGGCTTCTGGTTAAAGTTGTCTATGATTAATTGTAATCATAAACATTAAGCCTAAATATTGCTTTCCATCATTGACCATTATTAAATTAAATTACCCCACATTTAAAGTGGGGATTCTGTATTAGCTATGTAAAGTATTGTATCGGATCCACCTGCTTCAGCTGCTTTATTGACAATACAATATTTAAAATGCTGATAATAATTTTTCTATTTAAAAAGCTATAGAATTTGAACCTTGTGAATAATATAAAAAAAAAAATTATGTAGCATTTTATCTACAATACATTGTAGATACGTGAAATGATGTTTGTTGCATGATGATGTACTTTCCCCAAAGCAAATTATTTCCTTCTGAAGATGAGGTCTCCATGCTTGGAGTATATAAATCACTTTGATTATTGTATCCAAGCATGTAGACCTCATCTTCAGAAAGACTATGTGGAATATGTGGGACTGCTGTACTAAAGAGTCAAGAGTTAAGTCTGGATTGTTTAAGATTACCAAAACTAAACACACTAAGAGTATTTTAGACTAATAGCATTGGTTGACGTATAAGGTGGTTAAGAAATAGAGCTCCAAAGGTAGGTATTGTCCCCATACCTTGGTGTTGACTACTTGCCAGTGACTCACTGCAAGGCTTGACTACTTACAAGTGACTCGCTCACTTGGCTCATATAGTTGATGGTTATTGTGTGTACTCTAATGAGTACAGTACTAAAATCTCTAGAATGAGTTCAAGGTGAATGAATTCAAAAGCTTTGCAACAACCAGTTGAAGAGTAAGAGGGACTTGGCTGGAGGGACATAGTACCTCCCAGCACTTTGGGTGGAAGTTTTGTTAATATTTTCATTACATTAAATGCCATTTTGGGTCCTCTCAAGATGGCAAGGTTCTAGAATAGGTAGATATGTTAGTGGTAAACTTCTCAAGTGCTAGGTTTTCTGAACCTGTGGATTGATAAGACAGATGAGTGTATTTGAGAGGATCATATAGCCAAAAATGATAGCAAACTTGCTGAGCAAGTAGCAAGGAAGTGAGCATCAAGTGTGATCTGTGTGCAAGAATTTGTATGTACCTTGAGGTTACCTTGAGGTGCTTCCGGGGCTTAGCGTCCCCACGGCCCGGTCGTCGACCAGGCCTCCTGGTTGCCGGATTGATCCGGCTGATCCAGACTGATCAGGACTCAGCCAACTTGTAACCAAGTAAGGTTGAATTGGTTTAAGGAGGAGTGAATATTTTTACATAAAGTTAGGTGACAACTCGAGGAACACTTTACATCTTGTCTCATGAAATAGTGGAATGCTGCTGAGGCTGCTTTTGGGAGTATAATTATGTCAATTCTGGGACTTTGTTAGTTGTGTAAGGTATGGTAAATGTATGGATATCATTGTGAATAGCTTTTACCTTTCCCTATACCGTGTATTGTTCTGTCTTCTCTGGGTTGATGCCTTCCCACTTCCTGAATATAGAAATGAATATTTTATGGTAATGATACAGTATCTACAATTTCAGGAGTGTGTGTTTACTGGTCCAGTCAGTGCTTCCATGTGCACTGTTTGCTAACACTCCTTCACATTTTATTCTCCGTGGTGGTACAAATGCCGAGTTTGCTCCACAGGTTGACTATACAATACAGGTAAAGATAGGCGGTGTGGAGAGCTCTTTTAGTCTTTTCTTTGAACTTCAATATCCATTAGTGTAAACTAAACACTGTTCAGTGTAATTGATGGATTAAAGAATTTTTAATTCTTGGATAAACAAACGTGTGTGTGTGTGTGTATGTATATATATATGTATATATATATATATATATATATATATATATACAGTAATATAATATAATATATATATATATCACACAGTATCTATGAAACAGTTGATGCTTCTTTACCTTGAATAAAAGTGATTCCAGTTTCTAGTGATGTGCAGCTTTTTGGGGAAGGTATATTGGGGCTACTTTAAGAATCCACATTTAAAATGTGCATTAATAGTCTTTATTTAGATTGTGTAATAGTACAATACATGCATTTAGTTTGAAGATCATCATTTTTTTTACCTGAAATGTTATTTATTTAATTTCATATTCTCCTTATAATGTAATCTTTTGGATTCATTCCAAATAGTGACAGATTTCAGAAAATCTAAGAGACATTCATTAGTACAGTATACAGCTTGAATTGTCTTCCAAGATTCTCTTTAGTGCCAGAGGGGAAGAGAATATCTGGTTTATAATAGATTTCTCCATTTCAAAGAAGTAAATAAATAATTAATTTAAAAAAAGGAACACTTGGCGAACATAGCTATACTGTTGGCCTTTGATATACAATCCAGAAATTCATAAAATACTTTGAAGTAAAAATGTGGTGTTTGACCAGCTTGAGCTGCAAACCACATTACTCACAAAACAAAAATTTGATACTTGAGCTAACACACACACATGGTCTAACCAGTCCTTGTGCGTGCGTAAGCAATTCGTGAGCGTCTTGATTTACCCCCATACACTCAGAACTGTGGTCATGCAAACAAATTCACGTGTGTCCTAGTTTGTGTGCTTCACTCTTCAATTGTGGCTTAACACGTGTATTTATTTTTTCAGGTCTTCAGAAAAGTTGCCTCCTGGTTTGGAGTGGAATTTAAGCTGTACATCAATAAAAGGTAAAGTTGTTAGATCTTCATCCTACTGTAATTGTCATAAAAGATAATTTGTATGGCTTTTCCATGAGCTTTAGCTGTAAGTGTTGAATTTGATATTTATGGATTTGTTAGCTATTTCTTGTCAGAATTCAGTGCTTGTAATTAATTACTGACCTGTAATATAACCCCCTTCAGATCTTTATTACACTACTGGATAGTGCAAGACTGCTGTTTACACTATAGATCATAGTATGAAGCTGCTTGTTAAATTAGTGTGTGCATGGTATTCCAAGGTCAAACTACTGAGCCTCCCCAGGATGCAACCCACAACAGCTGACTAACTCTGGGGCACCTATTTACTGCTAGGTGAACAAGAGGCATTAGGTGATAGGAAACTTGCCCATCCATTTCTCTCCCACCCAGGATTTAAACCCAGGATTCTCAATTGAGTCAAGAATAAAGTCAACTGTTTTACTCGGACCCTAAAGGAATCTTGGAAGGGATAGATAGGTACACTTAGAAGGGATATGGGGACTAGGAGCTGGGATGTAAGAAAACTAAAATGGAATTACAGATCAGTTCCCGATCACTTAGAAGATTGGAGATTGAACCCTCACTCACAAGAAGTAAGGGAGTCACCCCTTCCATTGAGCCATATGGTTGGCTCAATCATAGTACCAAGCTGTTTAAGATACAAATCATAGCACATGGAAACTAAATTATTTTCCTAAAATAAGAGAGTTTTTAACTTAATCATGTAGTATCCAAGGTAATTTTTTTTGTAAATAAATGTATTGTGCAGTATAAACTTTTATCAAGAAATGTTGTCATATTTCTTATAATTTATTGCACAAAGAATTACACCAGTCTTGCTAGGTGAATTATCACATCGGACAAGTATTTGGTTAATTTATTTTTATGTTTGTATCTTTTATTTGTAATAATAGTCAATGAAAAATAGGCTGGAGTGTGGTGTTAGATAAAAAGTCAAGATGTGGTTATGTAGGCATAGTTTTGGGTAATGTAACCCAGTTTGAGCACACTTCATTGCATCAGGAATCATCCTCCTCATCTTCATTGTTATTTCCCACTTTCATATAGTCTGTATTGGGTAAGGTAGTACTGTAATAAATGTAAAAAAATATATATTCATGAAATATGTGTTATTTATTTCTTACTGTAAATTTTATACAAATCTGCATTAATATTTGCAAGAATTACAATTTCCATTACTCTCATTCCAGGGGATTTTATCCGGTGGGAAAAGGTGAAATATCTTTAGAAGTAAAACCTGCTTCGAAAGGTCTGTATGCAGCCGACTTTACAGATTTTGGTGAAGTTGTATCAGTTTATGGTAGAGCATTTGTTTCTGGAGCTCTTCCTGTGAAGGTAATAGGCTGCTTATTCTTAGCATATACTGTATCTTGTATGTACTGTATTAGAAACCATTACAATATACTTAACTACCCAAACAGCTTAAATTGTTTGTCCACTTCAGGTGGGGTGTTGTCATATATGAGGCCAAACTGTCTCTTGATCTTCAAAATATTTTACCTTTCAAATATAGTTCAAATATCACTTTATATCACAATACAGTCAGAATGGTTTAGTACAACAGTTTGCCACAGCTGTGTGGAAAATGCAAGATACATGTGTGTGTGTGCGCATATAAAGATTTGTTACATTACAATACTGTAATCTTGTTAAATTATAATATGAACCATTCAGCTTCATAAAATATGAACTTGAATCAATATGTTTTAGAATAAGGTACTTATCATAACATAAATTTATATTATTGTTAAATTAAGAATATCAAGATATATCTCACATAAAATGTTGGTAAATAAATATTGCATTAGTCTACATTATATTATTATCTCAGGATGCAATAGTTACATGACTCTTATCTGTCTTGTTATATCAGTACTCTGTTAGCTAAATATACAGTATTAAGATATTTGTCACTATACAGTGTCATAATTTTATATTCTTCATCTGTCTTGGATACTATTAAACATAGTTTTAGAATGTCCATGTGTGTTGTAGGACCTGTGTGTGTTGTATTCTTGCTTTAGTAACTGCATCCAGGGGTGTGCTGGCAGGCATGGCTAATTGCCTCTTTGCCGCCTCCTTCTTTAAATATTTTGTGTACTGTTCCCAAGTTAAATAAAAGTATTATTATTGTTCTTGGTGGAATGTATATTTGTAATCCATATGCTTTTTTCTCCACTTTTGTATAACAGAAAGCTGCTGCTTCTTTCAGTGAACTTTTCAGTTAATTTTCATCCAAATGTTAATTTTTGCATTCTTTTCTTGTGCTGGTAGTTGGAGGCATTATGTGGTGTGTGTCTGTTATAACTTAAGTTACAGGATGAGATTTGCACTCATGGTGTCTCCAGCTTCCCAGTATTGTCAAATGACACTTTGAAACTTCTGACGGTTTTGGTCTCTATCGCATTCGTTCACTTGTTCCAACTGCCTACCACTCTGTTTGCAAAAGATAACATTCTTATATTTTTTCAGCCCCTTTGTTTTCTTAGCTTGAATCTATGACCTCTTGTTCTTGAATTTGCAGGTTTCACAAATTTCTGTTTTGTCGATTCCTGTTACTATTTTGTAGGTAGTGATAGTGTCGCCTCTTTTTCCTTCTACCTTCTAGCTTTGGCATATTTAACATCTCTAACCTCTCCTCGTAGCTCTTATTATTTTGTTCTGGAAGTAATTTAGTAGCATGTCTTTGCACCATTTTCTCCCAGTTTGTTGATGTGCTCCTTAACACTTTTGTTCCTTAGGGACGGAGATGACGTCCACAAATAACTCTGTGGATGTTTCTTAGTGATGTAGATGACATCCAAAATTAAAATATTTGTTAAAATTCAAATTTTTATCCAATCTTTATAGGACTGGTTTTAAAAAGTGTGCCAACGTCTTCCCATTCTATTGCAAACTGAGGTGAAAATTGAGGTGAGAAACTTGAATAGAGGAAATACATTTGTGAGCAGGTGTTGCGTGTGTGCCAATGGGTGTTCACTCACGGGTAACACTTGGCCAACATTCGGCTTTGCTGTGGGTAGGACGTGCCGGGCTTTTGGACCTTGTATGCATATATTCATGTAGGGAATGCTATTGCGAACAAATTGATAACAAAATGAAAGATGTAGCATAAGAATTTAGGTGACAAAAGTGAAAAAAGGATACACATTTTATTGCTCTTTTGCGCGCTCACTGGTAATGCTTGGCCGATTTCTGGGTGTGGTGTGGGTGGCATGCTGGGTTATTGGACCTTATATGCATATACTCCTGTAGGGGATTCTATTGCGAACATTTTGATACCAAAATGAACGACGTACAACGAAAATTCAGGTGATAAAACTGAAGAGATTATACACATTTCAGTGTTGCCACATTCTCCCAGGAAATGCCCGGGCCACCTTAGGGTAGTCTGGCAAGCGCACGCCCAGAACACGAAAGTGTTAAGATAGGGGCTCTTTACAACTGTTGCATATTCTAAGTTTGCTGTCACAATTGTTGTGAACAATGTCTTTAGTATTTCACCATCAATGTATTTGAAAGCAATTCTGAAGTTGGAAAACACAACATAAGCTACTTTCACAATGTCCATAATGTTGTCCTCCGGTAACTGTTTATTGTCCAGATCCACTCATAGATCTGATTCTTTGTCTGTGTTCTTTAATGTCTTTCCACACAATTTGTAGATTGTGTGCCGTCTATTTTCTCCTTTTCCCTAACCTGGCATTTGTTGACATTGAATTCCATCTGCCACGTGTTGCTCCATTTGCAGTACAGTACTTCTTATCTTGAAGGGCATGACAGCTGTCATATATCTGTGTGCATGTCTCTGTCCATCAGTCCGAGTATGTGATGCCTGCACTGCCATCTTCGTGAGTGTGTTCGTACCTGTTTCTTTCCATCTAATCTTCGTGTTTGTTCACTCATGTTTGTGTACATGCCTGTCTTTCTATCCAGTTTATCTTAAATTTATTGAATTCTCTTTTCACCACAAAATGTGCTGCCTATATTGGGTATATTTTTTAAGAAGCTTTTTCATTTCCCAGGTTGCACACAAAATGGCAGATTCTGCAGAACAACTGTTACGTCAAAAGTTGCCGAAAAATGTTGAAATTTACATTGATCGAGTGAAAGAACATCCTGAGAAAGCAGTAGGAAATGGCTCTGGCATTGTGTAGGTATCGAATAATAATATGTATGATCGGGTAGAGTGCAAGACAATTTTGGCAATGCTATCATTATTTCTGAACGAGAGAGAGGTGATTATAGCTTGCACAATATAATGTGGATTGATACCAATTCACATAGTGAATAGTGTTAGTGTGTGGGCCTTTTGCAGCTTGACTCCAGTTTGAGTCTCGTATTATTCGAAAAGTTTGTAGAGAGAAAATTTCCATTATTGAATATCTTTGCACTTAATAATTTGACTGGTTCCAGTACCTGGCCTTAGGTACCGGTTCCAGTACCTGGCCCAATTTTGAACCAGCCAGTTGAATTTATAACCACCCAATAAGAAGGGAAAAGTAATTGGAATAAGAAGGGATAGTAATAGGAATAAGTAATGGATTATAAGAGAAAACAATGGAAAGAAAAAGAAAGATAAATGGAAGGGTAAGTTTGTTAGGTCACGAAATGTCATCGTCCCTTCACTTTCTAGTGTGTGGTTTGGTCAACTTTTGTTAATGTTTTGAATGTTACTATTGATCCAGAATAATTTTTGGTCATTAATACAAAGTTTTGAGCGTTATTAAGAATGTTGTCATTTGATGCTGCCAAGGTTGTGGGCAGAAACGACCACTGGATGTGTCCTTGGTGGGTCTGCACTTGGCAAGAAAGGGAAAGATGCCGAGGATGATGGAATCTTTGCAGCAAATGAAATCATGGAAAGCGTTGACAGACGTGCCTGCTTGGATAAATATTCACAAGATCAGGTCAGTTTACATGTGACTTTTGATGGTGATTTTTCTTGGAATAGTATAACAAATATTTTCTGTGATATTTTGAAATGTTTAAATAATTACACCACTGATATTTACCTTGGTTTTGTTCAATAGATTCCTAATTTCTCTTTCTATAAACAGTAAATACTTTTTGCTGTGCTAAATGATTCAAAGTCCCAGTGTAATTTTCCGAGCCCTAATCTCGTCATATTTATTGTAAACTGGATGTGTAATTTACCTGAATTTACCTGAGGGCAACTGACACACTAGTTGCCTCAACGAGGTCAGGAAGCCAGAGGCTTGTCAAGAGGTCCCTCCATTTGCCCCATGATCTTTTTCAGTTGGATTTTAAAATTTAAAGAGTTTTGGCATTTATGGCTTTAGCAGGTAGGCAATTCCATGGGTTTATAACATTGTGGGTGAAAAAGCATCTCCTGTTCTCAGTCCTACACTGTGGCTTGTTGAATATTGAAAAAGCATAAACCTTTTATATGATTTTTATACAATTAACTGTACTAAACTTTTCAGTATAGTCTCCTCTGAGTTCAATACACTGTCTCCCTGCCCTTTAAACTCCTTATACCAGTCTGGGTAATATTCTGATTATTTCAAACCACTCCTCACTGTACTTGATTTGTCTTGTGTCCAGTGCCAGGGAGTGACGTGGAAAATGTTTGACAGGGAAGGTAAGTGAAGGGAGAGATGGGTATGGTGTATGCTGGAAAGTGACAGGGAAGGCAAGTGAATGAAGAGATGGGTATGGTGTATGCTGGAAAGTGACAGGGAAGGCAAGTGAATGAAGAGATGGGTATGGTGTATGCTGGAAAGTGACAGGGAAGGCAAGTGAATGAAGAAATGGGTATGGTGTATGCCAGAAAGTGACAGGGAAGGCAAGTGAATGGAGAGATGGGTATGGTGTATGCCGGAAAGTGACAGGGAAGGCAAGTGAATGGAGAGATGGGGAAGGTGTGTGCTGGGGAAGTGATATGGAAGGCAAGTGAAGGGAAAGATGGGGAAGGTGTGTGCCAGGGAATGACAAGGATAGTGTATGAAGGGATACACAGGGAAGGTGTGTGGGCGAGATGGAGAGGGTGTGAAGATGTTTATTGTGATAAGGGTAGTGTGTATTGAATATAGTCACAATGATTGGGTGAGAGAGGGAGAGCATGTATGAAAGAGACAGGAAGGGTGTGTGTGTGGAGGAAGATGGGGAAGGGTGTGTTGACAGGTTGGAGGAGACCTAGGCATTGGGTCTACCTGGGCAGTGCCAGGTATCCCATCTAGTTTATAAATATATACAATTATGTGCTGCCAAACATAAAATAATAAGTGTGAACACATCTTCAAGTACAACACCAGTCATTTAGGTCAGCAAAACCTTCATGCAGCCAGCTATTCTCTAGTAGTACTGTATTTTGTTATCTTTACCTAAATTGTAAATAGAACACTAATTATCATGCTTTGTAAGGATTCTTGCATTAATTTCATTGTTTTTATATAATGTTTGCTTCTTCAGAACACTTTGATAGTTTGGTTTGATGCCCACCACCATTTGTATTGTTACCAAAGTTCTAGAATAATTTTTTTATTATTATTACTGGTATTGATTATTATTATTGTCATTATTATCACATATTTTTATTTGTATAAAGCAAGCTTGTACAGTGGTACCTTCGTTTACAAATTTAATTTGTTCCATGTTACAGTTCGTAAACCAAAAATTTGTAAACCCAAAACAAATTTTCCCATAAGAAACAATGTAAATTGAAATAAAACATTCCACATGGCCAAAAATATTATCTTAAAAATATATTTTATACAGAATTCTATTCATATTTTGTACTACAGTATAGTATATCTTACCTTCATTGAGAACCTGTTGGCGTATGGAAGACGGTGAGGAGGAGGAGGAGGAGATGTGTTAGTGTTTGGAAGGGAGTCCCCTTCCATTATAACATCAGGCATTGATGACATACTCTCTCTCCTATGCTTTGCAGGCATACCACTAGGACCTGATTGTGGCTGACTACTTGCTTGTCTTAATAGGAATCTGTCTAAAAGTATCTTGTTTTTCATTACATTTTAACATTTGTCTGTAGTGAGACATCACATTCATTCATTAGGAATGATCTCTTGTTTTTCCTTTATCATCCTCACAACTATTTTCTTAGGTTAAATTTTACCACTGACTTTCTTGGTACCCATGGTGTGATACATAATAAGAACTTTACTGTTCAGAAACCAAAAAAGCTGAAAAACAATTAAATTCTTTACAAAGAATTCAAACGCGGTCATCACTAGATGGGAGACACTGGTAAACTGAGCATGCCTTGCCCCCCGTCCAGCAGAACTTACATGCTCGACCCATACGAGTATCAACAGACGTCATATTCAAAGTCAAATTTTATGAGGAGTTTGACGTCGTATACCCAAAAAATCGTAAACTAGGGCAGTTGTAAACCAAGGTACCACTGTATATGTATTCCAGTGATTGTAAGCCTTCCCACAACAATTGTTATGACCCACCTTCCCCACAAACCAAAAAAAAAAAAAAAAAAAAAAAAATTGCCCTTGGAGTGGCCCAAGTTATCAAACAAAATACCTCATTCGTATAATTGGCTCTACCTCATAGTTTATTCAAGTGACATCACACTGCAGTATACAAATTAACTTTACTAATTAAAAAAAAAACACCAGTCATTTGCATTTTAATGTGCTTAACATTGCATTACATGCACCTCCATGTTATGGTCCATAAGCTGGAACATCTTGGGATACCCAGCATTGGACAACTTATCATGGTAAATCCATCCAGCATTTGCCTCAGCAGACAGTTGTTAAATCTAACATTCAGGAATAGGGTGTCTGCTATAGATTAAACTGTTTTGGGCAATTAAGTTTAATCTATTTTTAAACTTTTGGTAATTTTTTTTTTTTAATAAGGTATTGTGAAAGTTTTTTAATTTATTTTCTCATGTCAACCATTAGGTTATCATCTTCATGGCATTGGCAGAGGGAAAATCCAGGATACGCATTGGACCCCTTACTGACCATACCAAAACTGCAATGTGGGTGGCAAAGCTTTTGACAAAGGTAAGTGTAATATTTAATTTATAAACATTTGTTATATTGTAATTATTAGTAAAACCAAAATGCCATGTATTTGAGTCTCTCTAGTCCAATGAAGGTTGATTGTAACAAGCTGACCAAGCATAACACAAAAAACTGCACAGCATAATCCTCATATCTTGTCTTGTGTAAAACATCTTCCATCTTCATCCTCACCCAACCTGCCACTCAATCATGAAAGAGTAAGGGAGAGTGAGGTAGGGTGAAGGAGGGCAAGTATGTCCACCCTGCCCGCCAGGGCCAGTAAGGCTGTACTGACCTAGTTGTACTCGCCTAGCTATGCTTGCAGGGGTTGAAATTTGGCTCTTTGGTCCCGCATCTCGGCTGTTAATCTAATTGACAGTTGGGGCCAATTGGGAACAGTTTACATTCAAAATGTAAGTGAATGAACAGCAGCATTGAAAATTAATTATACATTTTGTATTTTTAAAAACTGACCTTTATTATGAAAAGTTATCTTTGATTCATTTATGTAAGCCTTCAAGTTTAATTCAAATCAAGCTGTTAATTTGATGAGCCTTTACTAGTTTGGTTCTACTAGAAGACGATTTTACTCAAGACTATTGTAGATTATCCTAGCATGGGGCCCTATGTACCCACTTTTCACCTTCATCAAATCATTATACTTGCTGTACTCACTATGCTCTATGAAATCATACTTCTCCACTATATTCACTGTAGTTGTTACTGCACCCTGTACACCTGCCACTGTACTTGTTACTGCAAATCTGTACACCTCTGCCACTGTACTTGTTACCGCAATCTGTACACCTCTGCCACTGTCCTCTTGTTTTCACCTTCACCGCTACCTCTTCTACCTTATTTATTGTGCATTACTATATAGTGCATAATTTGGTAATGCAGTTGACAAATTGTAAATAATTTGCACTGTATTCTATTTTACTATATTGGTAACATATTTATGTACTGTATTAAGTGTATTAAAAAAAATTGTTTTGTGGGAAATGGGACTGGGAATGTTATCCTTGATCAGCTATGATCAAAATGTATACTGTATAGTTAATAAGATACAAATGTACACTTAGCCATAATTTACTTTTCTTCAACAGGTCGAATTTAACATCACAGAAGAAGAAGGTAGTGACTGTATATTTGTTGAGTGTGATGGTATTGGGCATACCCCAATGAAAAGAAAATAGTAAATTGGTTATATATATATATACAGTATATATATATGTATATGTGTGTGTATTTATCTTTGTTTAGTCATGCATTTGATGGTTATCGGTTGTTATAGCTACCTTTATTGACCACCGTAATTTCATTCAGTGGATTTTGTCCTTAAATGTATTAAGTATTTTGCACGGCTGGTGCAAAATACTGGTTCGTATGGAGTCATCTCGCATTGTAGTGTAATTGTTTTAGTTTTTTCTAGTGCCATAATCCCAGAATAGTTCAGTACTGAAATCTTGTGTATATTAACACAAGTTTGTTTGGCTCAAAGATGGCTCAATATTTATTTCTGGGTTTACCTGTATTGAGATTTTTATGCACAGACAAAAATTGATAAACTGATGCTGTTATTCTTCTTTCAACAGTATTTAATTTGTTGTATTAATCAAATTTAATACAATTGTAAAATTGGTTTATTCGTAATTTGTGTATTAGTTGTAGTGACGTAGGCTACTCTAGCAAAGACAATAACGTGAGCAGTTTTCAGGTCCAGTATTACTTGTAATTTGTAACATATGATTTTGACTTTTATAATTTTATAATTTTACAACATTAAAAACAAACACTAACATTAAGATGCTTCCATCAAATTTTCTTAGTGAACACTTGTCATAGATAGTGCTGCTTCCCAAGGTCTTTCACATTTCAGATATTACTCTGGAAAGCCATTGTTTAAAAGAAAATTGTCAATAAATGATAATCCGTATTTTTGTTTTACAGATTCATAGCGATATTGAAAGTGGTTTAGGAATAAAGTGTGCAAATTTGTATAAAACACAAAGCTATGCATTGTACGATTGGTAAGTGATATTGCATTTTAATATTTCAAACAGGAAATTGTAAAATAGTGGAATTAAACATAACTTTTCTTGGAATAAAAAGACAATAAGTCACTTGACAAACAGTAAGTCACTGTCATTGGAAATTACTGTGCTGCAATAAATTTTTGCAAGCTGACCAAGCACATTTTTTGTATATGCTTTTGTGTTGCTTCCTTCCTTGTGTTAATTGTATAATGCTTGAAATTTTGATTACCTGGGCGTCGTAAAGGCTCGGCTACTATGATTAGCCATGTTATATATTCTGTAGTGCTGTGATGTTCCTTCTGCTCTAAGTACTTAGTATGGTACATCATCACTAGTTAATGGTTCAGTTATACAATTATTTTCTATTTAAACTATTTTAAATAGAAAATTATTTTAAACTAGGAATGTTATGCTTTTAATAATTGTCTACAGGAAGCTAGAAATGTTTAAAGCTTTCTTCAGGAGGGCCTTAGTTGTTCTGGGCATTATCTTTTAGCATTCTATTTCTACCATTCATGCTGTGAAGGATAGCATAGTGCTAATATACTCACTGTATAAGTGCAGCTAATTAGTGCAACTGCTCACTTAGTTGTGCTCTTTGGTCCTGCCTCTCAACCATCAATCTATTGGTGTACAGGTTCCTGAGCCTATTGGGTTCTTATCATATCTACATTTAAGACTGTGTATGTAGTTGGCCTCCACCACATCACTTCCTAATGCATTCCATTAGTTAACTGCTCTGACAATGATCAAATTCTTTCTAATGTGTCTGGCTCATTTGGGTACTAAGTTTCCACCTGTGTCCCATTGTTCCAATACCACCCATGCTAAATACCAATAGTTTCTTTATCTACCATGTCAATTCCTGTGAGAATTTTGTAGGTGGTAATCATGTCTCTCCTAACTCTTGTCTTCCAGTGACATGAAGTTTAATTCGAGTAGTCTTTCCTCATAGCTCATACCCCTCAGCTTGGGAAATAATTCTGGTAGGCTACCTCTGAACTTTTTCTAATTTCATCTTGTGTTTGACTAGGTATGGACTCCATGCTGGTGCATACTCCAGGATTGGTCTGACATAAAAGGTATACAATGTTCTAAATGATTCCGTATAATGTACAAGTTTCTAAAGGCAGTTCATATGTTGGGCCAGCCTTGCATTTGCTGCTGATGATATCCTATTGATGTAGGCTTAGGGGACAGGTTGGGCATATCAACCACTAGATCTCTCTCTCTCTTTCCAATTTCTAAAGGATTTCATCTCTGTTGATACCTTGTGTACGGCCTCCTGCTCCCTACACCTATTTTCATTACTTTATACTTGCTTGAGTTAAACTCTAGTAGCCATATGTTGGCCCATTCCATCAGTTTGTCCAGGTCATCTTGTAGTCTCTTACTGTCCTCCTCTGTCATAATCCTTCTCCTCATCAGCAAACTTTGAGAGGAATGAGTGTGTGGCCAGAGGTTGATGTATACATCCTATAGTGTGTCAATGAGGATTGGCAGACATCTACTAATGTCTGCAATTTTAGCGATAAACTCTGCCACTCTTGCAGTCATACAGTTTTCTCCATGTCATTTATGCTTGATCACATTAACAAATTGTTTATTTCTTCTGTATTTCTCATCATTGTGGTAACTTGGTTAGGCTATATTATGGATATTTTTATTTTATTTTACCAGGTGGCACCTAGACTTCTCGGTTAAGAGTTATGGACTCCCAATAACTAGACATTTGAATGTTGGCTGTTCTTCAGCTTAGCAGATACAAGACAGTTTAATTTTGCTGGGATCCGTGTCATTTTTGTTGTTGCTTCCAACAATCTTGTGGATGTTGCTGCTAAAGAAGCCATTTGTGCCTGTCTTGTCTCCCAGAAATGAATTCTTTACTTATATTACTACTGTCATTCATAAATAATCTGCAACTGTTTGAGAGAAAGATGGTTAGCTATTCTTAGTAGCAAATTATGTACTATTAAGTTTGGGCTATCTCCATGGCTTTACTCCTGTCACTGGCACAGGAAAGAAGAAAGGTCTCTGGCATGGTAACATATTGGCCACACAAGATTGACTAGGTGCCAGTGCTTCATGACTGATTTGGCCTAGGTTTGTATCCTGACCAGGGAGGATTGACTAGATGCTAGTCCATACCTTTGCAAACAAATCCTTAACTGTTTGCTTCTATTCATCCAGCAGTAATTGGGTACTGTACTTGGTTGTTAACCACTTGGTATGTATTGTTCCATTGGCATCTAGTGGGTAAGGTTTGTCATTAGCTATTGGAAAGGAAGCCTTTCAGCATGCTAACAGGAGTCAAAAATCACCTGTTCCTGTACCCACCTGTGTGTAAACCAAAAAAAAAAAAATAAAAAAAAAAAACTTTGGGGCACTTGATGAAACAGATCTGATGCATTTTGCTATCAGAATTGCATTGTCCCACTTCATTGATCATCTTTTGAAATGCCTTAATTTTCAGAACAGAATTGTAGGGAAGTCTACTAGTCCCTTGATGAGTTAAGGGACATTTACAGCCACATCATCATGCAGGAGCTTGGCATTTACTGTTTCTGTTGAAAATTGTGAAATCTTTGCCTCTTAATAACATGATAGACTAACTAAAGAGCCTGCTGTTCATTGTTAGGAAAGTTGAAGAGGTAAACTTAATTTACAAATGCAGTATTTTCAATTTTTACCTGTATATTAACTGCCTTTATTCTGTAATATAATATGTATATATTGTGTATAATATATTTAATCAAAGTTTAAAATGAAGGTCAGTTGGATATGAACACTTATTAAATATGCTGTACCGTGTCTTTATGTTGACAAGTTTATAAGGTGCATGTACAGTATGAGGTTTGTTGTAAGTTGCAGAACAATAAAAACAAAACAAAAAAAAGTTTTTCCTTCAGTAGAGGTGAACACCAGCCTAATACTAGAATGGTGGTGCATTATCATAAATACAATTAAGACATCCCTTGTCTTGATTAAACTGGGTTGTCTGCCGGCATGGATGGTGAACAGGTTTTCTGACATGGAGGTAAACTAAATTCTTTGAAACTCAAAAATTTAGTGAGTAATCATTGAACACAAGAAACTGTACCAGGAAGATTAACGCCCCCATTTCTCGAGAGGGTGGCGAGAGGGCATTGGTGTCCCACCCATGGGTAGGAGGGGGGTGGTGCTTGCTCCCTTTTGCCCGAGTTATGGTACACAGGCAAAAATACAGTCAATGTGTGTTTACTGTGCTTGGGAGACCCTATATATTGCCTATGCCCCTTCATCTGGTAGTTGAGCCTACCCTGTGGGGAAACCAACCTGTCCTCAGGATACCATAGTACTTGTCACATAATGCTCATAGTTCCTTTTCTGCTAATGTTCACAGTTTCCATGTAGTATATTTACAGTTATTATCTATCAGCAGGCACCAGCCCTTCCTCACATACCATAGTACCCGTCCCATCGGCTTGACAGCAGAATAGTCTGCTCAAATTGCTCAAATACTTTACATTAGACATATTTAAAGCTCAAGTGAAGATATATATGTTTTTATAGTGGCGTTCAGTAGCTTTTCGGTCATGGAGTGCAGACGCCTACGCACTTGCCAGTATGTTGTGTAATTAACAAAGATACGCTAATAAAGCTTAAAATATTACATGCCTCCAGAAAGACAGAGCTATAATCGTTATTGTGAGTGCATCAAAGAAAATATATCATGTTGGAGACCAATGATATAGCAATTTTAATTTAAGCTTCGAGTCCCGCCCGGTCGAGAGAGATGGGGCGACTCTTGCCCCATCTATTGGAGATTCTGTCCACTAAAGACCCAAAGCTACTCAAACCTTCCTAGCATTACGTAAGCAATGAAGTAATATGGTATATTTACTCACTATAATGTGGATGCTGGATGCACAAAATGAGAAAACATAATTTTACTCTGAAAAAATATCATTTTATAACAAAATAAGATGTAAATATGTAATATCAAAGGAAGTCGATGGTCCAAGCAACAATATCGTGGAGCGACTTATCCAAGATATATTGCTCTCTGGAAAGTGTTTGTTGGCATATCAACCTTCTGTACACAGTGATCCAGTCGTCGAACTAATCTGCTCAAATTATCGCAAATTTAATTTATGATGTTAACAAGTAGAATGCGTATTTTTAATCAAATCTAACGATATTAACAAGTAGAATGCGTATTTTTAATCAAATCTAACATAACTAGCCAGAAAACGTTAAAGATTATTTCAAAATACATGGTTGGAAGTTAAATCAACTCCATAGAACAATATTTTTGTTATAGATACTAATCGTTATTTGTTGGTATGCGTTCGCTACTTAAACTATCATGTACTGTATTTATGTAAAATCTCCGTTTCTTCGGACATGGAACACGGAACCTTACACGCTCTCTGATTTACTGTTTAATAGAGATTCACAAATAAGCTTATTTTTTTTTTTTTTTTTTTTTTTTTTTTTTTTTTTGAGATATATACAAGAGTTGTTACATTCTTGTATGATTGTATACGTTTTCAAAAAGGCAGTGACAAAGTCAATTTTGCATTTTAATCACAGAGATTAGATCTTAGTGAGAGAGGAAAGATATTCATATTTTAAAGAAGGATTTTTGAGCCATCGCTCTCCCTATCGATAGAAACTAACTTTTTTTTTTTTTATTATTAACAAGCTTAGGTATACACAGTAATGTGCTGCTACCCTATTCTATATGAAAGATTACACAGTGTATATCAAAAACTAGATATAAGTTCATTAAATATTCCCATCTCACAGGATGGTTAGTTAAACATGGAATCAGGGGATAAAATACCAGACTCAATAAAAAAAAAATCAACTGTGACTAACAAGAACACCACTTACGGGCTATTCATGCCTGTGCTACCTTTTGGGTGGCTTAATCCTCATCAATCAATCACAAGAAACAAGGGATACATCTCCCGTCACGCAGGGTCCAGTCGCACCTCCACAGATCTCCAGTATCATCTATTGATACTGTTAATGGTTCAAGAGGACTACCACTTACGGGCCTACCTCAAGGTAACAATCAGGTGAGAACATAAAATATAAGGCTGATCTATTAGCCTCCGTTAGCAAAATCCGGGTACAGCATAAGAATATCTTCCAATATTCCTAAGTGTATGAAGTAA